ACTTTACAGTTCAGTGGCATTAAGTACATTCACAATGTAGTACAACAATCACCACTATTCCTTTCCAGAACTATTTCATCATTCCACCCTCTGTACCTACTAAACAGTAACTCCTCATTCCCCCTTCCCCTCTCTTGTCTGTATTTTGAGAGATTTTTGTTATTCTTAGTTGTTGTGAAATAATAAGATACACACACACACACACACACACACACACACACACACACACACACACACACACACCTCTGCCCCCAGATCCTGAGACAGCTCTCCTAAAACCCTTGTAGACAGAGGTGCTAGGAAAATCTTTTGTTCTAGTATTTGGTCTTTGGTCCCAGTTCCTGACACAGAACTCATAAATCCCTTGGAATTTCCTGGGTGATAGGAGCATCTTTTGTTTTTGGTGGCCTTCTGGATGGGGGCTAGTCACCAAGAAGACCACGCTGTGATTAGAAGCTTGGAACGTTCAGCCCTAGCCCCCATCCTCTGGGAAAGGGAGAGGGGCTGGAGATTGAATTAATCATGCCAACATGATGAGGTCTCCATAAAAATCCCTGAGCTTCAGGGTTTGGGGGGCTTCCAGGTTGATGAACACACCTGTGTGCTGAGAGAGTGGCACACCCCAACTCCATGGGGACAGAAGCTCCTGCACTCAGGACCCTTCCAGACCTTGCCCTATGTACCTCTTCATCTGGCTATTCATCTGTATTCTTTATAATATCCATTTTTAATATCATAAACCAGTAAATGTAAGTATTTCCTTGAGCTCTGTGAGCCATCCTAGCAAAACAGTTGACCCTGAGGAGGGGTAGTGAGAGCCCCAGTTTATAGCCAGTTGGCCAGAAGCATAGGTGACAGCCTGCTACTTCTGACTGGTATCTGAAGTGGGGGCAGTCTAGGAGGCCTGAGCCCTTCACCTGTGGGCTCTCTACTAAGTGCAGGTTAACGGTGTCAAAATTTACTTGAATTGTTATAGGACACCCAGTTTGTGTCTGCTGGAGAATTGCTCGGTGTATGGGGGAAAAAACCCACACAGTTTGGTGACCAGAAGTGTGTTGAATGTTGAGTGTGGATGTAGAAGGAAAAACCTTTTTTTCCCCCTCAGTTGGCTTTTCCTTTACAATTGTTTTGCCTCTGTTAGGTAATCAGCTAATTTTTTTTTCTGCTATCAAGATTTCAGCCTTTAGTAGTATATTACACCTTACTAATTTTCAGCTTCAGCTTTTAATCTGCTGTTAGCTAAGAAACATTACTCAGCTTATCAAAATTGTATATAAAGTAAGGGCTAATAGAACTTCTTATCCCTAAAAGCTTCTCCTATGCAGAGAAGTACTGGAACTTTGTGATGGCTATTTCAATTATTAAAAGACCCTTTGCTTTCTGTTCTCGGACATTTCCTACAGGATTTATATTATGGGAAGTCAGACTTATGGAAAAGTGAAGTATTATTTTTAAGAGGGTCTATTTTTATAGAGAGATGAATAACCAGAAATATTTCATATCTTCTATTTTTTAAAAGACTTTATTTAACAGGTTCCACCACTAGTTTTCTTTTTAAATTTAATTTAATTCTTAAAATTATGGTGAAATATGCAAAACATAAAATTTAACATCTTAACCATTTTTAAGTGTAAGAAATCTTATTTTTTACAATAATGAATACAATTTGTATACCAGAGGGAAAAATCCCCACTATAGTATTAAATTTCAATTCTTATGTGTGTTTTCAAGTATGAAATCATGAGAGGGTAAACTTTTCTCTGATTTTAATTTATTTCTAATTGCTTTACTTTGGGCTATTTTGGAAAACAGAACCTCCTGGAAAATGCAGCAATAGCCTCTATGCATAGTTATGGGAAGGCCCAGGGTTCTAGCAGCTGTCCAGGGCAGCCACCTGGCCAGTCCCCACAGACCTGCCTTTCCAGCTGCCTCCAGGGACACCAAGTGTAGCTTCATTCTCTAAATAGCCACTCTACTCCTCAGATGAGTATTAAAGTATGTGGTTGCATAAGTCAGAATTGCTCAATAATTTGAGAAGATTCATTCCCAGAAGACCTCAAAGAAACACTGTGAAGATACAAATCACATTCTGCATTTAAAGAATTTTTGTGTTGATACTTTACGTCATTAATAGAAGAACTGCTAAAGCAATTTTTTTCTTGCCACATCCCACATTAACTTAGTCTTCATGCTGAGTGAGCTATGACAACACCATCAGCTATTTACTTATTTCTCATTACATTTATGGTTGGCTGCAACTTGTATTTCATTTGCAATCATGAGCAGAATGCTGTTGTGTCTATAATTGAAAGAAAAATCCCATTGAAAAGGTGAAGTTTTACCTCTCATATGCTCCAAAACCTCCCATCCAGATTTTTAATTTAATCTTTGGCAATAAACGGCGGTAAAACTTGCTTTAGAAAGAACAAAAAAATGTAAGGGCTGAACTCTTGTCTCAACTAAACCAATTTCTATAACAAAATTAACATTTTCAAAGTCACCAGGAATCATCTGAGCTAATCTAAAGTGACAATAAATATTTAATTGTGTAATTATAAAGGAAATATTTTCATGATCTATTTTTAACTTTGAATTTAAAATTAACTACTAAATGCTGTTTTGGTTGTTCACAGTTGCTTTTAAGATCAGGTATTTTGCTTTATCAACCAGATCTGAAAAAGAAAAACTGAGTGTGTTATCTTTGGGTACTTGATAAATGGGTTTTGATAATGAAAACCATATGAGATGATAATAAGGTGATTTCACATGCAGAAGTGGAAGCAAGCCAGTGACAAAGAGACTGCCAAATTGCAGAGAGCAGAGGGAGGCCGGCACAAGTCAGGAAGCAGTCTTTGCAGATTATATTTGATAGTTGGTAACCCCAGGCCAAGAAGAGTTTCTGGTTTGGGTGTTTTAAGAGGGTCTTCCAAGAGCTACAGCCATTAGAAAGACAGAGGTGGGAGGAGAGCTCATGTTTGAGGTAAAGATACTTGGGAAGGCAGAAGGGCAGAAACGAAGTCACGGAGAAAGCCTGGTATTTGAGGCATGCAGAGAATGGACTTCTGAGAGAGTAAGGAGGATGTTAGAGAAATAAGGCCATGAAGTAAACAGAGAAGTGGGCAGACGAGGTGGCATAGCTCTGTCATTATGTGCTGTCAGATTAACACTTGGGTAGGAGAAGAGCTGAAAAAAACATTTGGGAGGTATCAGAGGAGGTGAGAGAAAACGAAACTGAGCTCAAGTGGAGAGAGGAGCCTGGAGGGCTGCACTGTGGTGGGCAGCATACAGTGCCCCGCGTTCACAGCACAGGATGGAGCATGGGACAGATCTACCCGGGAAGCCCACTCCAGGGACAAACAAGATCTTGAGTTTGCTTTGGTCAGCCTACCCTTTCTCTCTGGTATTTTGCATAAACAGGAGTTTTTGATGTCTCCATGGATAACAAAAGTTATAATTTGCATCACAAAGTCCCATATTTTCATTTCCACATGGATGTCTTGATGAACTTTCAAAGTCAATATGTTCTAAAGTGGAATGCACATATTCACTCAATAAATAATTACTGGGCACCTACAATACAGACATGGTAGGCAAAAGCAGACGTTATCATGGAGCTTACCAATCCAGAGGGAGAGGTAAATAACAGTCAGATAATGCTGCAAACGTGGAAATTTGGGGTTGTGATTAATACCACAAAAGAAAGATGCATTTTCCATAAAGAGCTTACACAGAGGGGATGTGAACTGGTCTAAAATCAGGAAGCATGTTAGCTGAGACGTGAACAGCGAGAAGAACAAGATGAAGAACAGAGAAAGTATTCCAAGAGGGAACGGCATGTGGGAAAGGCCTGGGCAGGAGGGGACACGACCCAGCACTTCAGACACTCAAGGAGACAGGGTGGGGAGGGGCTCGACAGCCAAGGGTACAGATGGAGAGGCGGGCAGGGGCCAGGCAGGCTACATGGGGTTTTGTGGGTCATGTTAGGGATTTTGGTCTTTATATATTGAACCAGGGGAAGTCATAGAAGAGCCTTAAGCAGAGGAGGGGCATGCCCTGATCTGATGGGGCTGCTGAGTGGAGAATGGGTGGGAGCCAGGAGGAGGGGGCAGCTGGGTGGCCAACTTACTGTAGCCATTGAGGAGAGAGGCGATGCGTCGTGGACTGGGATGGTGGCTGTGGATGTGGAGGACAGTGGATGAACGAGAGAGAGATCACTGGTAGGACGTTCAGACCCCACAATGGATTGGCTCTGTAGACAAGGGAGAGGACTGGTGGGTGATGGTGGCATCCATTGGACTGAGAGCATAAGTCTGTTTTGCAGTCATCTTTGAGACTGAGCGGAGTGAACGGAGATGCCATGAAGGCAGTGACAGATGCTGATTGTAGCTCTAAGGAGAAATCTGATCAGGAGATAAAAGTCTGTGAGCTGCCTGCACATATTCTGGGTGGTCACTGAGGCTGAAGGTGTAGATGAATTTGCCTAGGTGGACAGCAGAGAGGGAGAGGGGAGGGGATCTAAACTTTGAGGAAATGCAACATTTCATGGTGACGTAGAGGCGGGTGAGCCTCTCCAGGAAACAGATAAGCTGCCAGAGAGCTGGAGGAGAGAGTGGTTTCATCGAAACAAGGTAGGCAGGGTGTGGGGGAAGTGTTTCGAGGAGGCAGGAATCAACAAAGATATATGCTACTAAAAACTCAAGTAAAATGACAGCTGAAAAATGTCCACTGGATGGAGACATGGTGGTCATGAGAACCTCAGCAAGAGCTCTGCTGGTAGACTGAAGAGAGTAGAAGCTGGATATGAGAGGGCGGTGGTGAGAGAGGGAGCGAAGGACACAGAAATCTGCTGAGAAATCTGCCTGGAAAGGCGAGGAAAGTGACCAAGTGGAAGCTACAGAGAATAAGGGCTCAAGGGGAAGACTTTTTTTTAATGGGAGAATCATATATGTTAATATATGATATTATTGTATTGCTGCAGTAACAAATTACCATAAAACTAGTGGCTTAAAACAGCATGTATTTATTACCTTATAGTCCTATAGGTCAGAAGACACCATCTACAGTACAGGTGCAGAACGGGCCTTGGATAGGAGATCACAACATCACCATCCCTTTCATTTTTAGACCTGCTGTGGTTTGAATGTCCCACCAAGCTCATGTTGGAACTTAGCCCTCAAGATGGTGGCAGAAGGTGGGGCCCGTAAGAGATGATTGGATTGTGAGGACTGTGCCCTCAGGAATGGATTGATCCATGGAGTGGTGGTTTCATGGTGTGATACCGTAAAAGTACATTTTTGGTTTTCATCCCAAGCTGCTGGCACACAACTCCTAAAATCCTTAGAATCTCCAAAGTGATGAGTCTCTTCATATGCTGACGATGGCTGGCAGCCTCCAGGTAGCTTCAGGATGAGGGATGGTCACCAGAAAGACCAAGGCAGGACTGAAGGTTGGGGCTTTCTGTCCCACCCACAACGTCCTGGTTGGGGAGAGAGGCTGAAGGTTAATTCGATCACCAGAAGCCAGTGATTAATCAATCATGCCTACATAATAAAGCCTCCATAAAAAACCCAGGAGGCTGGGGTCTGGACAGCTTCCAGATAGCCAAACACACGGAGATTCCCGGAGGGTGGGCCCAGGGAGGGCATGGAAGCCCCGTGCCCCTCCCCCACACCTCGCTCTATGTGTTTCTTTGTCTGTATCTTTTGTAATGTCCTTTATAATAAACCAGTAAACAAAAGTATGGGTTTCCCTGAGTTCTGTGAGCCACTCAGCAAATTAATCAAACTCAAGGAGGGGGTCGTGGGAACCCTGATTTTTAGCTGGTTGTTCAGAAGTTCCAGAGGCCTAGACTTACGACCAGCACCTGAAGTTGGGGCAGTCCTGGGGACTGAGCCCTCAACCTGGGGGATCTGACACTATCTCCAGGTAGATAGTGTCAGAATTGAGTTAGAAGACACCCAGCTGATGTCCACTGGAAAATGTCTTGCTTGACATGTGGGGGAAATCTCCACACATTTGGTCACAGAAGTCTGTCTTCTGTGTTGATTGTTGCTTTGTGAGAGAATAGGGAATAAAGTTTGTTTTGTCATGGGTGTGGTTCTGATGGCTTTATAAGGACAGCAAGTGAGCAGACTGGCTCTGACTCTTGCCGTTCACACCACGTGACACCCGCTTTGCCACGGGACTCCACACAGAGAGCCCCCACCAAGAAGAAGGCCCATGAACCACAAACTTCCTATCCCCCAAAACTGTAAGAAATAAGTCATTTCTTTACACACTGCCCAGTTTCAGGTATTCTGTTATGAGCGACAGAAAACGGACTAATAACGCAGGCCAGTACCATGGCCAAAATGGGCTCCCCTAGTTTCAGCTGCTTCTTGGCCCCACCCATTCTACCCGAGTCTAAGCTAGAGTGGTTTTCCTCATGCACAGCCTGCTTGGAAACCCCCAGGAGCTCCCGTCACCTACAGAATAAAGCCTAGACTCTTAGATATGGGATGTCCTCCATGACATAGTGGAAACTTGCTTTCCCAGCATTCCTTTGCCTTTCCTTCTGTGTGTACGTTTGTGTGTATGTGAGCAGTGTGTACCCTACCCTAGGCACCCAGTGCAATGAAACGGCTGTTTCCTGTGTGAGATCCATTTCCACGCCCTGCCCGTGCCTTCCCTGGCCTGGACGTCTTCTCCCCAGCCTCTTTCCTGGTTGAAATTCTTCCCATTTGTGGTAGGCAGGAGAATGGCCCCCAAAGATGTCCACGCCTTAATGCCTGGAGCTGGTGAATATGTTACTTGATTTGGCAAAGGGGCATTGCAGATGTGATTAAGGTTACAGACCTTGAGATGGGGAGACTGTCCTGGATTATTCGGGTGGGGCCCAATGTCATCACAGTCTCCTTAAAAGTAGAAGACAGAAGGGGAGTCCAGACAGGTTGCAACAACGTGAGAAGGCCCTGACCCTCTGCTGGCTTTGAAGATGGAGGAAGGGGCCATGAGCTGAGGAATGCAGTGGCCTCCAGAGCTAGGAGCAGCCTCAGTTTATAACCAGCAAGAACATGGAGATCTTGGTCCTACAATCACAAAGAGCTGAAATCTGCTAACAACCCAAATGAGCGGGTAACACACTCCTGCTCATGAAGCTCTGCCAACACTTTGGTGTTAGGCCAGTGAGATCTGCACTGGACTATGACCTCCAGGATTGTAAGATAATAAATTTATGTTGCTTTAAGCTACTGAAGTTGTAGGATTTGTTACGGCAGCAGTAGGAAATTACTACACCATCCTTTTTTTTTTTTTTCCTTTTTGTCATTTTTCGTGACCGGCAACGGATCGCAACCCTCAGTGTCGCGCCCGTACCGGACCGGGACCGGCAACGGGATCGCAACCCTCGGTGTTGCTCCCACACCTCGCTCAGCCAGTGAGCAGGAACCGGTCTGTATGTGGGATCCGAACCCTCGGCGGGAGCGCCACCACGCTCCCAAGCGGTGCACTGTAGCAGCACCACCGGGCTGGCCCTACACCATCCTTTTTGACCTAGTTCTCATTCAACATCCCTGAAAAACTCTCCTTGATCTCAGCCAGAAACGACTACTGTGCTTCCGCTTGAACGCACAGCAGCCCAATGGGACTTCTGTCCAGGTGAGAAACGGTCTGGTGTCCTGGCTATCTGCAGACTCGCCCTACCTCTATTAGACTTTTAGCTCCTGCAGGATTGGGGGTGGGATTTAGGCGGATATGGTAGCTGCCACAGTATCTGACCCCTTGCCTAGTACATAGAAGCCACTTAACAAATCTTTTTTTACATAATAAATGAACAAATGGAAGTCTCCATAAATATGGCAGAAACAATATAGCCAAGGTAAGCGCACCCTTTCTCTTCTCATTCTCTCAGGATACATATTATCTTAACTCTGAAATTAGAGGCTACCTTTTTCTATCTATGCTCTGTAACCCCAAAACTATTTTTTTTTTTTGTCCTTTTTGAGACCGGCCGCACCGCGCTCAGCCAGTGAGCGCTGTGAGCACACTGGTCATCCCTATATAGGATCCGAACCTGCGGCCGGAGCACTGCTGCGCTCCCAGCGCCGCACTCTCCTGAGTGCGCCACGGGCTCGGCCCACCCCAAAACTATTTGAATACTTACCATTAACAGGAAATATTCTTCATGTTACAAAATTAATTAATTTGATATATTTCATGCCTTTCCAAAGAGGAGGACCTTAGAACCTTAGGGAGTTAATAATAAATAAGAATGGATAAGGAAACACTTTTGCCTGTAAATGGCTGCTGACAACCAAGGTATTATTTTTACTAATACTGCTGATAATAAAAAGTTACTTACACACCAAACGGGACTTGGCTTACTTATGACTGCCTAAGTTTGCATTTTAATGTTTTTTTCCAAGGCAGGATTATGATCAAGGGAAAAATGTGATGGTGAATGGAAGTTGTGTCTTAGAAAAAGAAAAACAGGTTTGAAAAAGAAGGCTTCCCCCAGACCCATGGGCATGCTCATGTCCATATATACTGCGCAAATCCCACGATGACAATAGGTGGACAGTGCAGTTACACACTGCTAAAAACCCATAGATATGAAGCTACGTTGTTCAAGTAGCATGAAAGCACACAGCAATATTCAAACACGAGGCATGATCGCTGCCTTGGCAACAGAAGAATGAACCTCACACATCCCAGAGCTAGAAATTTACAAAGTTAAGACAAGAGGAAAATGTTTCCTAAACAGTTGCAACTACACAAAGTCACATCTCCAAGCTAAACTCACGGGTTGATTTTATATGGAGAGATCAGACACGGTAGATGTCTTTACCAGGCTCCTGCTGGTTTCCAGGCTCCCGCATTACCCAGCCCTCGGTATGCCTTTCACCTAACAGATACTGCACTGTGTATTTTTCAAAATGAATATGAGTTGAAGATCTCTCTAATGACTGTGTAACTATCCAGATGTTGAATGTGGTTTAGTTATAGAAATCGAGAGACAATTTAGACAGAAATCTGGCTAGGAAGGAAGAAGTAGCAGGGAAGCTAAGGAGTGCACCTGGAGCAGAAGCTCGGAGACTCAGGAGTCGGAGCAGGCTGTGAGGAGAGAGAGCCGGGGTCCCCGCAGGGAAAGACCAAAGACCATCGAGACTCCTGCGACAGAGATGGCTGTCGGCTTGTCGTGCCCACCCTGTTACTGCAGAATTGTTTTTGGCAGATTTCTCAATTTCCTTCTCCAGTTCCATTTTTTAATAACTGAGTACACTTAAAAATAGTGTAGGATCACATAGGCTCCCAAGCCCAGTTCCTTCTTATCTGCAGACCCTGAGAGGAGGAGGGACTTTGAAAATACACTTTGAGTCTTGGCACATTCTCCAGGAAGGCAACTCCCTGCCACCACCTCAGGAAAAGGTCCAAGCCCTCCTTCCTACCCCTCCACCCCGCTCTGGACGGCATTTTCTCTGTTAACTAACAACCCTGGCTATTTGTATTTTAAAGGGAACCCCAGGAGATGTAAAGCCTTTAAGATTCAAGGGGCTGAATCTCTCTAGGAGGAATGTCAGGAATTACAAGTATTTTTCATTCACTCATTCACGACATATGTCCTGAATTCCAGGCACAGTGCTAGGCATTGAGACCATATGGTGGGCAAACGCAGACACAACCCTGTCATCTTAGAACTTACAGTTTAGAGGAAGAAATAGATGTAAATTAAATAATTATAAAGTCAGTATTAAGTGCTACACAGCCTGACTCCTCTGCGAGACCGGGTGGCCCGGTGGGCAGCGAGTGCTGGGCAGGGCTGGCCTTCCTGAGGGAATGACCCTGGGAGCTGAAGGGGAGTGGGGGGGGCAGCTTCCGGACAAGGGCGAGGATTTCCAGGGAGGAGGGCACACGTTTTTCACCAGAGCTTCTTAGTGGCGCTGACAGGAGTAGTTTAGGGCCACAGTCTGGTTGGATGAGGGGTGGGGACTTGTCCCAAGCTGCCTTTGCAGAGCCAGCAGCCCTGTTTTCACCTGGGTTGTAGGTTTATGTCTAGCTTGGAGCGGTGGCCCAAAGGCGATGTTGGTGACCAGACCCCGCTTACATCATCTGTCACGTGGGCAGGGGCTCTGCCAGGGACGGTCTCCCCATCATGCCACGGCCCAGGGCCCACCATTCTTTTAGTGGCCCATGAAAACGTTTTACTTTATTTTAAAATCAGAAGAAAAAAGCTAAGGTAATAACAATGAGACATAATAAGAAGTCCAGTCCGGATTATATGCGCCTTTATACGCAGCTGTAAATATCATTTTCATTTTACCAGGGATGGGCCCATGAAGGCAGCTGTTTACAACAAAACTTTAAAGTTAAATTTAACAGAGTTCAGTTGAGCAAAGCAAAGAAAAAAAACTGTTGCTGAATTGGGCAGCCCCTGGAATGGGAACACGTTCAGAGCGACTCCACCACGCTGCGGGGTCAGTTAAAATTTATAACAGAAAAAGGAAAGTGACGTACGAAAACGGCAGTGAGGTGTAGACACAGCTGGATTGGCCACAGCTGGGGCATGCCTTGCTTGAACACGGTTTGAACATCGGCTGCCTGTGAGCAGTTGAGTGGCTGCTGTGATGGCTGAGCCTCAGCTACTGTGACGGAAGCACAAATCCAAGGTATTCAATTTGTTTAGTACTACGTTAGGTAAGAGCTCGAGTATGTGAGTTCAGAGGCCTTCTCAGGCCAAATTCTGGTTTGATTTAACACAGTAGGCACCAGATAGGCTTGGGAAGTGCAGGTGGGGAGGGAGCGATGCCAGGACTGAGCGGGCCCTTGTGGTGAGGGAGGCAGTGCAGAGAGGCCAGAAGGACAGACGCCGGCCTCGTGGGCAGAGCGAGGGTGTGAGGCTTGATCTACATCGGAGCAGTGCAAGTCAGCGGGAAGGCTGAAGCTGGGGGATAACATGATGTTAGAAAGACCCTGCTGGCTGTGTGGGGAGGGGATGGCAGGGCTGGTGGGAGGGGTGGGAGCAGAAGTGGGAAGAGCAGTCAGGCCAGAGTGTGGGTGCAGGTGTGAGTGCAGGTGCACGTACTGACGCAGGGGGGAGACGAAGACAGAGCTTTGCCAGAGCAGGGCGTCTACCTGACAAAGTGCCGCAGGCTGGGGGGCTTAAGCAACAGAAATGTCTTCACTCACACTTGTGGAGGCTGGCCATCCAAGATCAAGGTGTCAACAGAGTCAGCTCCTTCTGAGGACCGTGAGGGAGGATCTGTTCGGGCCTCTCTCCTGGCTTCTGGGAGCCTCAGGCTTTCGTTGGCTTGTGGAGGGGCCATCTCCTCCCTGGGTTTCTTCACAGCATCTTCCCCCTGGATGGGTCTGCGTCCACATGTCCCCTTTTGATTAGGACAGCAGTCATACTGGATAGGGCCCACCCTAATGACCCTGCTTCAACCTGATTGCCTCTGCAAAGACACTATCTCCAAAGAGGGTCCCCTTTTGAGGTACTGAGTATTAGGACTCCATTATGTGAATTTTGGAAGAACATCCCAAACAGCTCCACCCATCACAAGGGGCCAGCAAACCATCCTTGGGCCAAATCTAACCCACTGCCTGTTTTTATGTGGCCTGAGGACTAAGAATGATGCTGAATTTTTAAATCATTGGTGGGAAAATCAAAAGAAGAGTATTCCGCAACTCTTGAAAATGATGTGCAATCCGTATTTCAGTGTCCACGAATAAAGCCTTGTTGGAACAGGGCCACACTCATTTGCTTAGTGTCATCTATGGCTGCTCAATGGAGTTGAGTATTTACAACAGACACCAAATGGCCTGCAAAGCCTAAATATTTGCTATCTGCCCTGTATTGAAAAAGGTTGCCAACCCTTGCTCCAGAGCCATGGCAGTGGGAGAGCTGTGGCTGAGGCAAGATCGACAAAGCCTGACGTTAGATGAAGGAGGGGTAGCAAAGGAGGATATTAATGGCTCCAACTTTTCTGGTACCCTCCACCCCCAAATTACCATGCAGCCCAGGGTGTGCATAGGCCTACAAGGACCAACCGTGAGCTGGCGTCTGAACCTGTGTACAAAACGAAGGGAGCTGTGCCTTGCCTAAAAGCTTGCAAATTCACTCTTTGTGAAAACACTATGCTGGTGAAAAAAGACATCTGGAAACCCAATTCAGGGCTTCTTGCTGGTTCATCATTCCCACTTGATTGATGAGGCTGATACCTGGAGGCCAATCAGACTTAAAGAATGACAGACGGATCCTGCCATCAGCTAAACCCCAAAGTCACACGTCACCCATCGGTGCCAGCCAGCACCGGGTCCACCCCACCGGTCCCTCCTGAAGGTGCTCAGGAAGCCTCGTGGGGCTCCCAGGCCCACCGTCTCTCCTCAGTCACACCTGATGCAGTGCTTCTGCCTATGTGGGGCCACAGGGACAGAAGTGAGCCGGCTGTCCTTGGAGGAGCTCTCTGTCTAGTAGAAGAGGCAAAAGCGAGTGTGAGGCACAGGCAGGAAGTCCCGAGGTGCGAGGACTAAAGCCAGCTAGACCCTGGACAAAGGGAATGGACAAATGGAGACCTCAAAGCCATTCAGAGGGAAGTGGTCATTTCCCAGCAACCTCCCTGGACTCTCCCGCCTGCCAGCACCTCCCACCCATCCTGCACCCAGGCTCGAGGCAGACAGACTGACGCTGGGTGGGAGCTGATGCCCACATGCAGCTCTACCACCAACCTGCTCCCAGGATTTCCTCGGGGTCTTCTCTCCGGGATGCTCTTCTGAAGTTCCTGGAAAAGGGAATATACGAATTAGTAAGTGAAGATAGTAAGGAAGGAGAAGTGGTGCCTCACTACTGTGAACTGCTCTACAGCAGGGATTATTGTAGCCCTGATTCCGCAGCATCTAGAACAGGGTCTGACAATTAGGAGGTGATCAGAAAACGTGACAGAACAATTGAAATTACTTCTACAGGACCAACCAGGCACGTAACACAAACTTGTTGTTACTTCAGGTGCCCGGAAATGCTGTATATGGGTCGTGTTTCTATTTATTTCCCATATGGTATTTTTTTGGTTTGGGGTTACGTTTTGGTCGGGGGAGGTGGTGGCTGGCTGGTATGGGGATCCAAACCCTTGACTTTGGGTTCTATATGGTCTTGATCCTTAATACTTTTTCCCACTCATTGCTCTGAAAACTCCCATTGCTCAGTTCTTTAAAAAGCTCCTCATCTGCCACCTCTCCCAAGGAGCATTCCTGATCTTATGTTGCAGGCATATGATCTGTCTGGGAGGCAGCTGAGTGTCTGGGAAAGACCCTGGCTTTGGAGCCAACATATCTGGTCAGCTGTGAGTTCTTGACCAAATTTCTTAAAACTTTCCGGAATCTTGGTTTTCTCATTTGTCAAGTAGGGATTCATATCTGTCTCATAGTGTCATGAGGATTAATTGAGATAATGTTACGTGAAGTCCCTGGCATGTGGTAGGTGTTTGTTGAATAAATAAACCCTTTCTCCAAGGAAAAATTGGGAAGAGCTGGATTTTTACCAAATATCAAAAGTGTCAAAAGAACATTCTAGAAGGGAGGATGAAGCCAATAATCTTTTCATGAATTTTCAGTCTAATGAATCAAATGATTAACATCAAATTTGGGGAGAAAAATGAATTTCTACAGAAGATAACAGCACCATTTGCTGCCAATTACAGCCAAAAGCTGTGCATTCTTAGGAACTGTGAACAGAATATCTAAAAAAGGCATTTATGATGATTTTTAAGTAAGGCACAGTTGTGACACACATGCTGTAGATATTGGATAGTTTTTAAAATAAAACTATTTAACTATATTAAATTCTACACGCTGTTCATGCCGAAAAAACTACAAGAATTTGGGGACTTTGAATGGAATTTCCCTAATCTTAGGCAGGAACACCACAAGGCGAACTTCATAACTGCCAGCTGTGGAATTACTTCTAAGCCACTCTAAGGCTTGACAAGTACTTTGTTTGGCGAGAGTAGAGCAACGTGCTGTGGAGGATCTCTGAAGCTGGGGCCTGGTTCAGGGAGAATGCCAGTGCTCCTCTAACGCTTTTATACAAAGAGAAGCAGCTCGGGATTTACAGGTCGGGCTGGAAACACAGAAGATGGCACAGAACTTGCGGACTCCCACAGTACGGGGGCACCACTTCAGCTTTTTTAGGAGGTTTGTTTTTACGTTCATCACACAATTAGCCGAATGGATCTATCAAGCCCTATCCTTCAAGAAAACCCCCGCGCGCCCGCGCGCCCCCACCGGTCCCTCCT